TACCTTGGCTTTCAAGTCGTTTCAGACTTAGGTTGTCCCTGAGCAAGGGTCAGGTAAATGACCTTGGAGGGCCGTATGCAGCCCCTGGGCCTTACTTTGAGGACCCCTGGGTTAAACCCTTGTGCCAGCAGGACTGCTGACTGACAGGTTGGTGGTTTGAATCCAGGAAATGGGGGTGAGCTCATGTCTCAGCTCTATCTCCCCATGCGTGGACATGAGAGAAGCCTCCCACAAGGACTGTAAAACATAAATATATCCAGGTGTCCCATGGACAATGTCCTTGCAGATGGCCAATTCTCTCATACTAGAAGTGACTTGCAGTTTATCACGTGGCTCCTGACATAGAAAAATCGCTTGTATAATTTCTCTAAACTCAGTGGACACTGGCTGACTATTCATCTTCCAGGATCAGAATGTGTGCGTGGCTCTGCATCCCAACAACATTCCCTTAAACATGATCCACAAGCAAGTGCCATTTGTGGTGGGGAAAAGGACTGTCTGCCCTTGCTTTGGGGTTAGAAGCGGTTCTCCCAGAACTCCTGTGTCTCCGGTGGATAAAGAGAACATGAGAGTGGAAGCTGGAATGCATAGGAAAAGTGCCTCAGCGTCTCACTTCCTAGAATCATAGCCCCCCTCCCACATAGCTGAATAAAATCCACATTGAACTGAATTATATGGCAGTGTGGACTTGGCTAATAATCCAGTTCAAAGCAGCTATTGTGGATTATCTGCCTTGATATTCTGGATTATATGGCTGTGTGGAAAGGCTCTTAAGAGACCATAGAGGTTATCCAGACCAACCTCTTGCCATTCTTTGTCTCTCTCTCTCTCTCCAATTCTATCTTTTTGTTGTTGAAGACTTTCATGGCTGGAATCACTGGGTTGCTGTGTTTTCTGGGCTGTATGGCCATGTTCCAGGAGCATTCTCTCCTGAAGTTATTTATTTATTTATTTATTTATTTATTTATTTATTTACGTTATTTATATTCTGCCCTTCTCACCCCGCAGGGGACTCAGGGCAGATTACAATGTACATATGCATGGCAAACAGTCAATGCCATTGACACACAACATATATAGTCAGACACTCAGAGGCTATTTAACATTCCAGCTTTTTCATGAAGGTATTCTGGCCACCAAGGGGAGCTGTCGCTTCTCCGTCCATTTGTGACACTGACAAAGTACTTCCTCATTCTTTTGCATGCTTGCTGGAGATTTTTATGGCGTTGTAAATTAGCATCCTCGCATAAGCGGTACCTAAATTTTCTCCTTGACAGATGCAACTGTCTTTCGGGCTGCAAAGGTCAACAGCAAGCTACAAAAATTGGTCAGAAGCTCACTTCGACCTGGGCTGAGTTTGGACTTATGACCTTTTAGTCAGTAGTTATGTTAATGCAGGTGACTCCCAGCCAGCTGCACCACAAGTTTTGCCCACATCTATAGTAGGCATCTTCAGAGGTTGAGAGGTCTGTATTGTTGAAAGCTTTAATGGCCGGAATCACTGCGTTGTTGTAGGTTTTTTCAGGCTATATGGCCATGCTCAAGAGGCATTTCCTCCTGACATTTCGCCTGCATCTATGGCAAGCATCCTCAGAGGTAGCGAGGTGATCAGGGCCGTAGCCAGAAATCTTTTTTGGGAGGGGCTGAACATTTTTGAGGGGGGTTGAAAATTTCGCAGGGGGGTTGAAACCTGCCTCCTAGCTCACGCTGAAGCAAAGAGCACAGCAGGGGGCAGAGCAACCTTTAATAGCCTGCAGTTCCACCCCTGTCAACCACCTCCACCAAGTCTGGCATCCTTAATGAGAGCATTCGACACTCCCCCCAACTTGGTTGCTTCGCTACATTGGCTATTGCTGCACGTAATGACAGTGCGAATAAATTGTCAATATTTGCTTGAGATCGTGCTTGCAGTTCTGGAGGGACTCTTAATTTTTTGCGTCTCATAGTCTTAGCATGAGGATTTGGTTAACCAGTTAAAATTAAATGAGTAAACCAGGTTTTTTTTTTTAACCTGAAAATTTTCAGGGGGGGGGTTGAACCCCTAACCCCCCCCCCACTCCCGGCTGCAGGCCTGGAGGTGATTATATGGCTGTGTGGAAGGGCTCCTCACAACCTCTGAGGGTGCTTGCCATAGATGCAGGCGGAACGTCAGGAGAGAATGCCTCTAGGGGTTCTCAAACTAAGGCCCGGGGGCCGGATGCAGGTCTTAAAAGACCCGGCCCTCGCTCAGGGTCAACCTTAATCTGAAACAACTTGAAAGCACACAACAACAACAATCCTATCTCATCAGCCAAAAGTAGGCCCACACTTCCCATTGAAATAATAATAAGTTTATATTTGTTAAAATTGTTTTTAAATTTCTTTTGCACTACAAATAAGATATGTGCAATGTGCATAGGAATTCATTCATTTTTTTCAAATTATAATCCGGCCCTCCAACAATTTGAGGGACTGTGACCTGGCCCTCTGTTTAAAACGTTTGAGGACCCCTGCTCTAGAACATGGCCATATAGCCCGAAAAAACCAACAACAACCCAGTTGAGAGGTCTGTTGGAAAAGTCAGGAGAATGCTTCTGGAACATGACCATACAGCCTGGAAAACTCACAACAACTCAGCAATTCCATCTTTCTTTCCCCACCCAGCAGGCCTTCCTGCAAGGCTTTCAACATTAGTCTGGTGGTTAAATTATTTATTATTATTATTATTATTATTATTATGCTGCAAGTCGCTTCTGGTTGCTTCTGGATTGAGAGAATCAGCCGTCTATGAAAACGTTGCCCAGGGGACGCTCGGATGTCTTGCAATCCTGCGAGGAGGCTTCTCTCATGTCCCCCATGTCACCCCATTGCGGGGTGTCTGTGCCCTACACCACTGGAGAAATTACACTGCTTAGCTGGTATTGCACCACCTGACATCCACTGGGAAGTAGCAGCCAATAGTGAAAGGACCAAGGCAGTGACATCTCCAGCCCATCCCTTGTTTGGGTATCAGCCAGCATGTCAACGACTTAAATCAAGAAATAGTTTTCTAAGATCTACAGCAGTGTTTCTCAACCTAGGGGTCGGGACCCTTGGGGGGGTCGCGAAGGGGTGTCAGAGGGGTCGCCAAAGACCATCAGAAAACACAGTATTTTCTGTTGGTCATGGGGGTTCTGTGTGGGAAGTTTGGCCCAATTCTATCATTGGTGGGGTTCAGAACGCTCCTTGATTGTAGGTGAACTATAAATCCCAGCAAGTACAACTCCCAAATGCCAAAGTCTATTTTCCCCAAACCCCATCAGTGTTTGCATTTGGGCATATTGAGTATTCACGGCAAGTTTTGGCCAGATCCATCATTGTTTGAGTCCACAGTGCTCTCTGGATGTAGGTGAACTACAACTCCCAAACTCAAGGTCAATGCCCACCAAACCCTTCCAGTATTTTCTGTTGGTCATGGGAGTTCTCTGTGCCAAGTTTGGTTCAATTCCATTGTTGGTGGGGTTCAGAATGCTGTTTGTTTACATGTTAACTATAAATCCCAGCAACTACAACTCCCAAATGACAAAATCAATCTCTCTGCCAACCTCACCAGTATTCAAATTTGGGTATACCGGGTATTTGTGCCAAATTTGCTCCAGTGAATGAAAATACATCCTGCAGATCATTATTTACATGGTGATTCATAATGTTAGGGTTATAGTTGGGGGTCACCACACATGAGGAACTGTATTAAGGGGTTGCAGCATTAGGAAGGTTGAGAACCACTGATCTACAGAGACATTCGCTGGAACACCTCAGCAAGCGAGAGTCCAAAAGTGGCAGGCTCAAACCCAGCACCTCAATCCGTGGGTGATATCAGATGAGAGACTCCCCCCTGGGCACACAGAAGACTGGGCGACTTGGAAGGCGCTGAACAGACTGCGCTCTGGCACCACGAGATGCAGAGCCAACCTCAATAAATGGGGCCACAAAGTGGAATCCACGACATGCGAGTGTGGAGAAGAGCAAACCACTGACCACCTGCTGCAATGCAACCTGAGCCCTGCCACATGCACAATGGAGGACCTTCTTGCGGCAACACCAGAGGCACTCCAAGTGGCCAGATACTGGTCAAAGGACATTTAATCAACTACCAAGCTTGCAAATTCTGTCTTTTGTATGTTTGTTTGTTTGTTCTGTCAAAAATGTAATACAACTGTTCGGTTGCCTGACACGATAAATAACTATTAGGTTCTTGTGGGTTTTTTTCGGGCTATATGGCCATGTTCTAGAGGCATTTTCTCCTGACGTTTCGCCTGCATCTATGGCAAGCATCCTCAGAGGTAGGCTCTGTTGGATCTGTTGGTGCTGAGGTGAGGGGGTCTCTCTCTCTCCTCTGGGATGCGTGCCAAAGCAGGCGAAAGGGTGGGGGGGGGGGAGGTGTTGGAGGGGGGGAGGGGGGGTCTCAGGAGAACTGCCTCTAGAACATGGCCATATAGCCCGAAAAAACCCACAAGAACTGAGTGATTCCAGCCATGAAAGCCTTCGACAATACATTATTATTATGCTTGTTTCTACCCTGTACTTTTGGTCTCTTTGGTCGGCCGCCCGCTGGTAGGCTGGAGACGGGGCTATTCTCCACTTCTGGCCGGGAGGGCTGTGGCAACGCGCTCCGTGAAGGCGCCAGGCGCTCGGCTGCCGCTTCTCCATCTCTAAGGCGCTCCGCCTCAGCGCCTGCCTCCTGTTGCCAAGCCACCAGCGGGAGCCGCTTCGTGTCAAGGCGCATCCCCCTCCGCCGCCGCCGCCGTCTCCCTCGCAACGTGAGGAGGGCTGAGGCGAGGGAACAACAATAATCCCGCGTGTTATCCGTCGCGCGCCGCCTCCCCTCCCTCCCTCCCTCTCTGTTTTTCTGAGGGGAGGAAAAGCCAAGGCAGCGCATCTCCCCCCAAAACAACCAATCAACACCCCCCTCCCCTTTCCTCCCTCCCTGAGTGCGCGCGCCCTGCGTGGGAACCGGGGCGCCTTGTCTCCGGATTGGCTGGCTGGCAAGAGACGTCACAAAGGCGGGCGAGGGGCTTCACGCGCCTATTTGCGCCAGAGAGGACTCGCGGTGGTGGAAGAAGAAGAAGAGGAGGAGGAACAGCTGGCGCTCTGGGCGCGCGCGCTTGCATCCATCTATCTTTCTATCTATCCAATCTCCTTTCCCTATTGGACCGCGCGCGAGGAGCCTTTGACGTCAGCCCGGGGTCGCACCGTCGGGCGGCTCGGAAGAGGGAAGAAGAAGAAGAAGGCGCGCGCCGACGGGAGCTGCCCGGCGCGGGCGGGCGGCATGTCCGCTGAGGCCGCCCTCCATGGAGATCGCCTTGGTGACGCTGGAGAACGGAGGCGCCACGGCCGTCGGAGGAGAGGCGGATAGCGGGCCCGGCGCGGAGAGCAGCGAGGCCCTCAGCCCAGGACGCCGCCCCCGCCGCTGCCCGCGACGCCTACCCCCCGCGCCGCCGCCCGAGGAAGGCATGGCCATCGCCAGCGGCGGGGATTGCCCGGCCTACAGGGCCTGCCCTTCGACGGCCCCTGCGGAAGGAGGCGGTCCTTGTGGTGGGCCCTGCGGCGGCGGGGAGGAGCTAGGCGAGGCGGAGTGCGAGAGCGCCCTCTTGGGGCAGCAGCGCGTGCTCATCAACATCTCCGGCCTGCGCTTCGAGACCCACCTGGGCACCCTCAGCCAGTTCCCGGACACCCTCCTGGGTGACCCCGAGAAGCGCATGCGCTACTTCGACCCCCTCCGCAACGAGTACTTCTTTGACCGCAACCGGCCCAGCTTCGACGGCATCCTCTACTTCTACCAGTCCGGCGGCAAGCTGCGCCGGCCCGTCAACGTCTCCATCGACGTCTTCGCCGACGAGATCCGCTTCTACCAACTAGGCGAGGAGGCCATGGAGCGCTTCCGTGAAGACGAGGGCTTCATCAAGGAGGAAGAACGCCCACTGCCGGCCAACGAGTTCCAGCGGCAGGTCTGGCTCATCTTCGAGTACCCGGAAAGCTCCAGCTCGGCCCGCGGCATCGCCATCGTCTCAGTGCTGGTCATCCTGATCTCCATCATCACCTTCTGCCTGGAGACGCTGCCTGAGTTCCGGGATGAGCGGGAGCTGCACGTGCCCCTCCCGCTCCCGCCCAATGGCACCCTGGGGGATCTGCCCCGTCCACAGCCCCCCAGCACCCTCAGTGACCCCTTTTTCATCATTGAGACTACCTGTGTCATTTGGTTTACCTTCGAGCTGCTGGTGCGTTTCTTCGCCTGTCCCAGCAAGCCCGAGTTCTCCCGGAACATCATGAACATCATCGACATCGTAGCCATCATCCCGTATTTCATCACCTTGGGTACTGAGCTGGCTCATGAGCAGCAGAAGGAGGAACAGCCTGGCAGCACTGGCAATGGAGGCCAACAACAAGCCATGTCCTTAGCCATCCTCCGCGTCATCCGCTTGGTCAGGGTCTTCCGCATCTTCAAACTCTCCAGGCACTCCAAAGGCCTGCAGATCTTGGGCCAGACTTTGAAAGCCAGCATGAGGGAGCTGGGTTTGCTCATTTTTTTCCTTTTCATCGGCGTGATCCTCTTCTCCAGCGCCGTCTATTTTGCCGAGGCCGACGACCCCGAGTCGCACTTCTCTAGCATTCCGGATGCCTTTTGGTGGGCGGTGGTTACCATGACGACGGTGGGTTATGGAGACATGAGGCCTGTCACTGTGGGGGGCAAGATTGTGGGCTCCTTGTGTGCCATCGCGGGCGTGCTCACCATTGCCCTTCCCGTCCCCGTTATTGTGTCCAACTTCAACTATTTTTACCACCGGGAAACCGACCACGAGGAGCAAGCCATGCTCAAGGATGAGTCAAGTGCTCCAGGCAACTCGGCTACAGATTTGAAGAGACAAGCCAGTAAAACCTCATTGGACAAATCTGTTGTGCACTTGGAGAATGCCGAGGGGATGAACAATGTGATGAGATCTGTAGAGAAGGCCAATATCAAAGCTAAAAGTAGCATAGATCTTAGGCGGTCTCTCTATGCGCTCTGCCTGGATACTAACCGGGAAACAGACTTGTAAAACAAGGGAAATTGATAGGGAAATAGAGTAAACTTGGGAGAACTATTTGCAAAGGGCAAACAGGACTGCCAGTTAGTATTTATTTTAAAAATTTTTGAATATAGTAGTTGTTTAAAAAAAACTTTCAGGAAATACAAATTGATGTTGTTGCTGGGTTGTTTCTATTTGTCTGTTGGTTTTCAATGTTATCTTTTACATGACATTAAGAGTGTTGCCTATTTATAAATCCAGCTAAGACTAAGTTAGACACTTCCCAATGTCTATGAGCCTTTTAAAACCAGAGTGTTGTTGCGTACAGATAATTTATTATTTAAAGGTGGGTTTAAAAACAATCAATTTGTATCCGCAATCCTCTTATCCATACCTCTTTTTCCATGGGAAGAAAATAGATTCTTTGTTGGTACTGTACTTTGATTTGGAATAATTCTATTTTCAATATATATGTGATTATATTTATAAATGCAAAAGAGCACTTTAGAGATGTACAAATTTATGGATTCTCCAAGAACATTTAGCTAAAGCATTCCTCACATTTAAGTGCAAAACTGGTTTTCTCTTGTATGAAGTGTGTGTGGTGTGGTCAGCCACCTAGCAGAAAAAACACTGTTTCCACAGCTGTTTTTCGTTACCTTGGCAAAAACCCAACTCTTTTTCATAATAAATACATTTAATGCTATTTCATATTTCTGTCTATCCCATAATGTGTTCTTCTTCCCAGGAGGGGAAATCTTGGGAGCTTTATATTGTCAGTCTTTTTTAAGTGGCAAATTTGAAGGAATTTTTTAAATAAATAAATAAATGTTTATTATTTACATTAGAACCAAGTGCACAATAGATCAGAGGTAGTAAGAGTAATCACAAAGCATGCAAAAATGTGTGTTCTGGAACATGGAAACATTTTGAATATGCACTCATCTCCAACTTGCATCATCCTGTTTACAAATGTTACTGTTTTAACAATAATTCTTCATCGGTGGATGCTTCTGAAAGAATCTAATGAAGGCAGCTAGTTAAATAGAGTTCTTTTGGCTCCTATTCTAAAGGAGAACTGGAAAAGGACTGCTGGCTTTTACTAAGAAACCAAATGATGGATGTTTGCTGCACAGATGTTCTTGAATGATAATGGCAGAACTACTTTCACCAAACGTAATGATCTCAGTATACTGCTAGGAGAATGACAGCAGCAGTGGTATTCTCCAAATTATGGGATCAGGATCCATCCTCAGTAAGGCTGTTGCTACTGCGGGAAAGTACCACGCTCTTCTTTGCTTCTGTATGTGTTTCCTCCTACTTTTCCTGAATTCCTGTTACATCAGCCTGTTGTCATATACAGTGACGTGACACAACAGAAGAAGATCAGCACTAAAGGTTAGTGTTTGTCTGATTCAACCATTTTCTTTATACATGTATGCTGTTGCATTTCAGCTGAAAAGTAATCGGAATTGAGGAGCCTATCATGTCATGACAGTTAAAGTGGTGTCAAATTATATTAAAGTGTCAGACTGTATATGTAGAATCCACACATGCAATAGACCAGTGGTTCTCAACCTTTGGTCCTCCAGGTGTTTTGGACTTCAACTCCCAGAAATCCCAGCCATCTTACCAGCTGTTAGGAATCATGAGAGCTGGAGGACTAAAGATTGGGAACCACTGCATTAGACACTATTATTTCAAGTCTTGGGAATGATACAGTTGGATTAAGCTTTGGACTTATCTAGTTTGTTGATTTACGGAAATTCTTAAGACACAAATATGGAGAAAACAGGTGGGAACAACCACTGTGATTAAGGATTAGGACAGTGGTTGTCAACCTGTGGGTCCCCAGATGTTTTGGCCTTCAACTCCCAGAAATCCTAACAGCTGGTAAACTGGCTGGGATTTCTGAGAGTTGTAGGCCAAAACACCTGGGGAACCACTGATTGAGAACCACTGCATTAGGAAGGAAGGAAGGAGAAGGAAGGAAGGAAGGAAGGAAGGAAGGAAGGAAGGAAGGAAGGAAGGTGGGAAATGAGTGTGTTAGGCTACAAGGAGCAAGGATGTAAGCATTGTAAGAATATGAGGTGAAGGGAAAGAAGTCAAAATGAGAGAAATTACTGTGATAATGTGAGCTTCCCCTTGTGCAAGAAGTAAAAGGAGGATCTACAACAGTGTTTCTCAACCTTGGGTCCCCAGATGTTTTTGGCCTACAACTCCAGAAATCCCAGCCAGTTTACCAGCTGTTATGATTTCTGTGGAGTTGAAGGCCAAAACATCTGGGGACCCAGGTTGAGAACCACTGGTCTACATGAGTGAGCTCTTGCTCACTGACTGGTAGGGAAGCACGCACTTACATACTTTCCCCTGGTGTTTGGCCTGTACATAAGATTAGAAATCACTATCAGGGCCTCATGTGGTATCTGCATGGAGATGTTTTTGACATTGTGGAAAAACAGATGGCAAAAAGTAATGGTCTAATGAAAATATCACAGGGAGTGCTTGTGCAGGTCAATATATTTCTTGTGTTTGCATTGCATTTGGAATATACATGCATTATTTATTGATAAATTCCATAACCAAGCAGAGATTTGAACTTGGATCTCCCTGTTCCTAAACCCAAGGCTCTAAATATGAACCTCGTTCCACAGATTCTGGGCTCTGTATCCATGCGTTGTGGAACAGAGTCCCAAGGAGGCCATCACATAACGTAAGATTACTTCTGGCGGGACTCCATTTCCACAGCACATGGAAACGGAATCCAGAAAGTGAGGGAAAGACGGATCTCAACGAGGAAAAGATGTGGGTTGGCTGGCCATCCCAGAAGATGAACTTGGATGAGAGGGAATGGAGCAAGATGGTTCCCTCCACTTTCCCCTCGTTCCTCACTCATGGGGTGAGGCCCATGGTGCATATAAAAAGGGTATAAAAGATTGAAACACTGTTAACTTAGAAGTGCAATAATTGATATACTGAATGCATATTTAGAATAATAATTTGCACAAATTGCTTAATATATGGCCAGATTTGAGGAAACGGACTATGGCAACCCTACAGTGCAGTTTTTAAGTAGGCCTAAAGCAACCAAGTCCATTCAGGTGCATAGAAACCTTTTATTTCATCAGTCAAGAATGGACACTTTAGCTCTCCTGACAGTATTCTGATGGTGATTGATAAAGAAAGGATGAGAATGAAGAATTCGATACAAATTTCTAACTTCTAAACCGAAGAATATAGCTTTTATCTTAGCCACACATATCTAGTTAATGATGAGGAGAAGGCCTGTTGTAGAAGTTGGTTTGAGGGGGACTGTTTTTTCAGAAATTTATCACAAGGACAGCCAATGTAATTATCCTAAATGTTACCTCAGTTTACTTGTTACATCTTCCACAATAATGTTTATATTAAAGATTGTAAATTGAAATCTTCATTTAGAGCCGTGGGCTCAGGTGATTTAAATCTTAAAATCCATTGTATCTATTTTGATCTATATCATTTATGATATATTGGTTATCATCTTGGTTGTGTACGGATCACACAAACAGCATCCATATGGATGATATTCCCTTGATTTCTGCAAACCCCTTATACTATTAGTATCAAGTGGCTAGGTTTTTTGCCGTTTAATTCTATATGCATCCCAATATCTCTGATATTCCTGACTCCTTTGTAGAATATAATATAGTTCTCATTACATCTTGGGATGTTTTCCACTAAATACCAATATTTATTTATAAATCTCTGAAGGTATTTTGTGATATAATTAAATGTGAGAGCCCAGTGAACACAATTACTTTGAACTCTGTGTTGCTTTTTTGAAAGTTCGAAATAGAGTCCCCCTAGGGGAGAGAAAAGCAGTATACAAATACTGTAAATAATAAATAAATAAATAAATAAATAAATAAATAAATAAATAAATTTCGCTGCTTTTCTTCAACCAGTGTTTTTCAAACTGTGCTCCTCCTGATGTTTTGGACTTCAGCTCCCAAAATTCCTAACAGCTGGTACGCTGGCTGGGATTTCTGGTAGCTGAAATCCAAAACATCTGGAGGAGTACAGTTTGAGAAACACTGTCTTAAACCATTAAATATTGTATGTTATGGATACCCTCTTGCCTTCAGATGGTTTGACAATATCATGGATTCTGAGTTAACTTTTTCTTTATGAGAACATTTGTGCTTTATTCTCAGAAACTGGCCACATGGAGGGTTATACTTCATGGTTGTAGGATGACTGCTGTCAAATCTAAGGTACATGTTTACATCTGTAGGGTTTATTATACATAAAAGTGATGATATTAACTCCTCCTTTCCTAATTTTCAGATCCAAAAAAATAGACTTCTGTTTTATTTTATACACATTCAGATGGAGTTAATTGCATAGGATGTTCTAAATTGATAGACCCATATTACTCTAAAACAGGGGTCCTCGAACCTTTTAAACAGAGGGCCAGGTCACAGTCTCTCAAACTGTTGGAGGGCCAAATTATATTTTTTTTTAAAAAATGAATGAATTCCTATGTAGACTGCACATATCTTATTTATAGTGCAAAAAAACCTTAAAGACAACACAATAATTAAAATGAAGAACAATTTTAACAAATATAAACTTATTAGTATTTCAATGAGAAGTGTGAGCCTGCTTTTGGCTGATGAGATAGGATTGCTGTTGTTGTGTGCTTTCAAGTCATTTCAGACTTAGGTTGACCCTGAACAAGGGCCGGCTAAATGACCTCAGAGGGTCGTATCCAGTTCCTGGGCCTTAGTTTGAGGACACCTGCTCTAAAAGTGACAAATGGTGTAATGAGTTACCAAGTCATCAGTTTATCAAATGTTATTAACCATTCTGAGTCAGAAACAAATCTAAAAAAGAATTCTGCAAAAGGAGAATTTCTCAAGAGCAGGGTCACCATCTGGCAAATGAGTGAGGCTAGGGGCTATTTGTGCACTGAGAGAGGCATCTGGTGGGAATCATTTGAAACTCTATGCCCCACAGTTTCAAGTGGAAAGTTTCATTCACAGGTGGTTCATGCTTGCAGAGTCATAGCAATTCCAAATCAGGTTCATCTTTTTGAAACATCTTATATTCTGAAATTGCTTAGATCTTCTTCATCATCTCTCCAAATATTGAATAAGTTATGGAATTGCCTTGGCAATAATGAGTTTTTCACTGTATTAATTGTTTGAACAAGATATTCCTTGTACAACATCTTTCTTGAAAATATTTGCTATTTCTGGTGCCAAAACTCTATGGGCAACCCCGTAATTTACCAATAGTATTATTGTTGTTCAAATATAACTGACCATGACAGAAAAGAGAAGATAACAATGCAACAGTACTGAACTTTTTTCTGCCTGACTGAACTGGTTGACTCCATTCTGCTGCTGCTGAGGGACAGTCACCTCTATGGATAGGCCAGAATATTACTACTCTGAACTGACCCTGGATTTTCTGGTGTGTGTATAGATCAGGCATGGACAATCTTTGGCTCTCCAGGTGTTTTGGACATCAATACCCCAAATTCCTAGCAGCTGGTAGGAGTGGAAGTCCAAAACACCTGAAGGTCCCAAGTTTGCCCATGCGTGGTATAGATGAACCCTTAGGGAGGATATAGAACAATTGAGTCCTGGGATTTGTTTTGATTGGAATTTTTTTCTTTGTCTCTTATATAGCCCAGAGATGTACCTTCTTCACCTGCAATGCTTAGAAT